GAGAAGCAGAGGAGAGGAGAGGAGAGGACGAGGAGAGGAGAGGAGAGGAGAGGAGGAGGAGGGAGGAGAGGAGACCAGCAGGGAGAGGAGAAGGAGGGGAGCGGGAGAGGAGGGGAGGGGAGGGGAGGGGAGGGGAGGGGAGGGAGAGGAGGGGAGAGGTGGAGGAGGAGAGGAGAGGAGAGGAGAGGAGAGGAGGGGAAGGAGGAGAGGAGGGGAGAGGAGAGGAGAGGGGAGGAGAGGAGAGGAGGGGAGAGGATGGGAGGGGAGAGGAGGAGAGAGGAGAAGAAAGGGGAGGGGGAGGGGAGGAGAGGAGGAGGAGGGGGAGGAGGGGGACCAGAAGCGACAACGGCAGAGAGAGGCGGGAAGTGATGAGAGGAGGGAGGGAAGAGGGAGGCAGGCGAGGAATTTGGTGTATACATACATAGTTGTAAATAGGTTCATGCACGTCCAGATATGCAAATGTAAATATCTATATATGTACATATATATACATATATGTTTGTGAACATATGCATTGGCCTGCCTCCACGGAAGGAGGCCCCTCGAAAAGAAAGACTGGCCCATGATGTGCCAACAGCGACGAACGATCGACGCACACCCATACCCCCAGGGGGGTTCGGAGGGAGGAGGACAGGCTATGGGTATGGGCGCGTGTTGTCGGATCCCAGGGGTGGCTCCCGTTCGATCGGGGATTCCAATCCGACAACACGCACCCATAGCACCGTTCCGTCCCCCGTATGGATATGGATGTGTGTTGTTCGTTTAGAGCGTGGTCCCCTTTTGCCAAGTCAGCATCACCCACACCAACCACAACAACAACATCGGCCAGGTTAGTATCAACGTCGGCCTGCTGTGTGGAGCTCGCGCGGTGGAGGACCCACCCCAGTTGGGGGTCGACTGCAGACAAGGAGGAGAGGGAAGAGGAGGAGAGGACAAGCTGGGAGCTCTCCCACCACGTCTGACATCCTACCCTTCCCAGCCTCCCCTTCCCATTGCGCTGACTTTTCTCTATCCGCCGACGGATACCACATCGTAATTACCTCAAACCCCAAAATTACCTCATCGTGTTACGCGCAAGTACAAGGAGGATACATACACATTGGAGGAGGTGGACGAGGAGGAGCAGCAGTATGAGCAAGAGGACGAGCAGGAGGAATAGGATGAGGGTGAGGATGAGGAATTAGGAAGGAGAAGAGGAACAGCAGCAGCAGGAGCAGGAGTTGGAGGAGCGGTAGGAAATGGAGGAAAAGGGGAAGGCGGAGAAGGAGGCGGGGCCACAACGACGAGGAAGGACTCGAACCCAGAGGTGTGGCCCGCGTTGGGGCGAGGGCACCATTCTGAACGACGGGAGCGAAGCGCACGACGCTCGACGCACGACGCACGACGACGACGACGACGACGCGCAAAGTGCAGACTTCACGGCTGGGCCTGGGGGCAGGCCCCGGCGGGGCGCAGGGTCGCGGGAGGGGGTTGGTCGGCGGCGGCCGGCGACGTGGCGGCGACGTCGCGAGAACGAAAGACACGGTTTCGTCCTGGCCTCCCGAATGAGCGACGATCAGAAGCGAGTCCTGCGCGAGATGACACATCGACCTTCCGCGGCGGCTTACGCGGTTCGCCGGCGCGGCACGCTGCACTGGAAGCGAGGGCGCTCGCGCGGGACCTTACGCTGGCAGCTTACGCGCCAGTGTCGCCAAAGACGACCCCGCCTTTTGACGCCGCTCAAATGGAGCCCGAGTAGATGGGATCGAAGGGTCGCTTCGCATCGCCGGTGGACTTGTGATGCGCCTCGAGGTGGATCCCGATTGGCTTCAGGCCGACGTCGCCGATGCATCGCCGACGTCACTGAGGCATCGCCGAAGCATCTTGGATGCAGCGCGGTCCTTCGACCCCGTCTGCTTGGACCCCATGTGGTAGGACTCCGGTTTTCGGTAAACAAGAACACGGGCGACCACGGCGTCCCAGGCGGTGATGAGGGGGACGCGCCGAGCGCAAACTGCGGCCCATCGCCGATGGCTACGTGCCCAGCGCGAGGGGGGAGGAGGAAAGATTTGCCCTTGACCCTGCAAGTCACACGCAACGAATGAATAGGGGGAGGAAGAGGAGAAGAGAGGAAGAGGAGAAGAGAGGAGGAGGAGGAGGAGGAGGAGGAGGAGGAGGAGGAAATGGAAATGGAAGTGAACATGGAAGTAAGACCTGCAGTCGAAAGCCCGCCAGCCCAAGAAGCAAGGGGGATCACGCCGACTGGGCCTCGTCCTTCAGCTGTGGGCCTCAGTCCCACTGTCCCAAGCGCTTGGACACCGCCGCGGCGGTCCACTGTGCAAGACCGCTGGATTCGAGACTGAACCTGGCCAGGATCGCTCCTCTACCCAGACGTGGGCAAGAGCCTCCTGGAAAAACAGGGCGGGTGCAGACCGTCACGGACTGGTTCCTGTTCGGGACAGCGTCGGCTAGCTGGCAGAGGTCCCAAGGGGGAGCGACCTCCAAATCACCGACCGCCCATCCCCCGTAGTGGCTCAGCCAGCGGGGAAAGAGGCCAACGGGAAATTCGCATTCGCTGATGCTTCAGCCCAGTGCCTGCCCCCGCTTCTTTGCAGGGCTGCAGCAGAGCACGCATTCCTCCCCAGACGAACGTCCCGCACGGGAGGAGGAGGAGGAAGAGGAGGAGGAGGAGGAGGAGGACGAGGAGGAGGAGGAGGAGGAAAAGGAGGAGGAGGAGGAGGAGGAAAAGGAGGAGCACGAGGAGGAGGAGAGGAGGGAGGGAAGGAGGGAGGGCGAGAGGGACGGACGGACAGAGGGAGGGAAGGAGGACGAGGAGGACGGAGGAGGGGAAGGAGGGAGGAGGGTGGACGAAGACGCAGGAGGGAGGCAATGCACGCCGACGGTCTATATCTAAGCCTGATCTGGCCGAGCTCTCGGCGCCATTGAGTGCCAAGGAGGACCCAAACGCAAGCCCCCTGAGCGGCAGGTGGCCGAGGGGTGTGCTTGCCAAGGCCTTGGCCTCGCCCGCCCACGCGCCCGCCTGTTCGATGTTCGAGGTTGTCTGACGTTTTCGCCAGTTTTCTGCAAGTTTCCGGCCTCGGGATGCTCTCCGGCAGCCACGCCTCGCCGAGAGCGTTCTGGGGGTGCCCGGATCTCCCCGAACGGCCACTATAGAGCCAAGTTTATGGCCAGAAAACCTATCATTTCCCCCCTCGCCCTCGCCGCCTCCTGACCTCCTCGCCGCCTCCTGACCTCCTCCCAACACGTCCTCCCCCTCCTCCTCCTCCTCCTCCTCCACCTTCCTCCTCTACTCCGATCCCCTCCCGCCTCCGCCTACCTCCTCCCACTCCTCCTCCTCTCCGCCTCCTCTCCCTCCCTCCTCCTCCTCCTCCTCCTCCTCATCATCCTCCTCCTCCTCCTCCTCCTGCTCCTCCTCTTCCTCCTCCTACTCCTCCTCCTCTCCTCCTCCTCCTCCTCCTCCTCCTCCTCCTCCTCCTCCTCCTCCTCCATTCCTTTTCCAAAAGAATACCTTCTCCCTGTCACACCCCGAAGCCAGTTTGTAGGGCGGGCCGGGCGCTTCGCCTGAGAATTCCTTACCACTCATGACCCTGAAGCTTCAAATTTGACAACAGCTTCACCTATTGAGGAGGGGGGTCACAATCTGGTTCTCGCCTTAGCGCCGCGCACACAGAGCTTCACGGATTGAGGGGGGGTGGTTTTCAAAATATAGCTTTCGCCTCAGCGCCGCGCATCTTCGTTTCAAACAGTTGCAAGAGTTTCACGGATTGAGGGCGGGCCGTTTTCAAAATGTGGATCTCGCCCGAGGGCGGGTTCTTTTCAAAATGTGGCTCTCGCCTTAGCGGCGCGCACATTCGCTTCCAAAAATTGGAAGAGCTTCACGGGTTGAGGGCTAATGGTTTTCAAAATGTGGTTATCGCCTTAGCGCCGTGCACATTCATTGTCAAAATTCGCAAGAGTTTCGCGGATTGAGGGCGGATCGTGTTCAGAATGTGGCTCTCGCCTTAGCGCAGCGCACATTCGTTTCCAAAATTTGCACGAGCTTCACGGATTGAGGGGAGTCCTCTTCAAAGTGTGGCTCTCGCTTTAGCGCCGCGCATTAAAAGAATTACAAGAGGTCCACGGATTCCCAAGATCGACGTACCAGAAACTGCGTTTTGGAAAGATTCACGATTATGAAAGATTTAGAATCGTTCAGACGCAACGGTCAGGTTTATCCGTGACGTTCGAATCCCGAAACCATATGTTGACACGTTGCAAGGTCTTCGAACGGTTGTTTTCCAACGGGACAGGTCTCTCTGTGGAAATGAACCACTGTATGGGCCTATGAAGAGGGAGCTTGGCGGGAGGGTTGATTCCAACATCCTTGGTGACTCTTGGTTTGCACTGGCCCTCCTCCTCCTCCTCCTACTCCTCCTCCTCCTCTTCCTCCTCCCTCCTCCTCCTCCTCCTCCTCCTCCTCCTCCTCCTCCTCCTCCTCCTCTTCCTCCCTTCCCTCCTCCTCTCCCTCCTCCTCCTCCTCCTCCTCCTCCTCCTCCTCCTCCTCCTCCTCATCCTCATCCTCATCCTCATCATCATCATCATCATCCTCCTCCTCCCCAATTAAAGCCTCTGCTCATCGTTTGTATGGTTGTCCAGTGGACCTCCAGGAGCGTTTCGCCAGAGGCATCCTCCCTGATCCCTGTCAGCTCTACTCGCATAGGCCTTGGGACCCGTCGTGGGAGTTCAGGGTTGGAGAGCAGGGTGCACCGCTCATGCTCCAAGGGGGACACGTTTTTCCACACCAACCTGTGTTGTTGGGTCCTCGTTTTGAAGAGACGGTCCCCGCGTTGCTCCTCCTCCTCCTCCTCCTCCTCCTTCCTCCTCCTCTCCTCCGCCTCGTCCTCCTCCTCCTCCTCCTCCTCCTCCTCCTCCTCCTCCTCCTCCTCCTCCTTCCTCTCCTCCTCCTCCTCCTCCTCCTCCTGAACGGGGGCGTGGAGAGCGACGGCCCCGTGTGCGGCGAGGCGACATCGACGTGAGCGGGGACGTGGTCGAGTTCCAGTGCGGCGTGGAAAGCCGCGGCCCCGTGTGCGAAGGGATTCCCACAGCTTGCGTCGGCATGAAGGTTCCCTCAGCTTGCGTCGCCCTTGGGGCTCCCGCAGCTGGCGCCGGCTAGAACTTCGACGTGAGCGGGGACGTGCGCAGCGACTTCACGCCGCAGCTCGGCGACACCATGGCGCACGCTGTCGAGGAGCAGGTGGACGCAGGCGACGTGAGCTCGGAGGACGTCGAGCTCGGGTGCCCAGGCGGCCACAAGCTCACCTTGCGCCGACGACCACCTTTCGCCTCGGAGTGCGAGTGGTGCCACCGCGTGAACCCCCGCGGCTCCCCCACCTACTGATGCGCTGCCTGCCAGCACACGGTGTGCGAGGAGTGCTTCGGGTGAGCGCGCTGGAGTAGGGCAGGCTCGGCGGGTGCCCCGCGCTGCGTGGCCCGCCTGAGACATGGCCACGGCCGCCCGTCTCGTCCCCCTGCGGACGGGGGCCAAAACTCATCTGGTGCCTGCGTCGCTGTCCTAGCCAGCGGCGCGGGCTCCTTCGAGGCCGAGCCTATCCTGTTCTCCTCCTCCTCCGCCTCCGCCTCCACCTCCGCCTCCTCCTCCTCCTCCTGCAAAACCCCGAGGAGGGTTCTGCACGGGAGCTCGGTGACAGCGATGACGATCGGTCACCTTTTCACTCCGGCACGGCGAAGCAAGTCTCGGTAGCTTCAGCCGTTAAACACTTGAGCCAAAGGTAACGGGGGCACCTTCACTCCCCAGTCACCTGGATGCTTACATGTTAACACCCCCCCTCGGACGCTAGTCCGTATAGGCTGACGGGGAGGCGTCAACAATCACGAAAACAGGTCAAGCTATACAAAACGTCGCACGCAAATGACGTTAAATCTCTAGTCTCTTCATCACACTGTTGAATTCGAAATGTCTCGCGACGGCGCTTACGAGCACCAAGTTTCTCACACATGTAACCTGAGCTCGAGTAAACGCTTTTACTGTCACAAGTTCAAACGAAGCATCTAAAGTTTACACAGCAGGCTAGCATTTGGATGATGTTGATTGCTTTCGCTTTTTATTCGCCAATACCTGCGGTAACAACAAGAGATGCGCATGCAAACAAACTCAGCTCAACAAGCTGCCGCCAATCGATCGTTATGCCAAGTTAAGAGGGGAGATGAGGAAGAGCGTGAACTGCAGCATGCCGACTGCCTGCCATCTCTCACGGACGGCGCGGGCGCCTCGCCGACGGGGCCCGTGAACCCCTCGACCGTGGTAACCCGCGATGGCCCACACCGGGTGCGGTGTAGGACGACACCCTGTTAAGGGCCTGCATCGGGCTGTAGTAGTCGTTGTCCATGTACGCGTTAATGCGCTCCTCGTCGTCAAGCCAGCACCCCTCATCGTGGCTCTTAATTGAGCCGTCAACGATGCTGTGGCAAGTGCCGATGGCTCTCCAGTAACTGGCGTGGGGAGCCTTTAACAAAGGCCCACCGCCTGGATTGTTACGGAGGTGCTCTTCGACCGCAGCGCCGGTAAACGGGTTCACAATCCAGGCCGGATCGGCAATCCAGTTGGGGAAGTCGTCGCACGGTAACCAGCCAAACCAGCAAAGCTTCTCACGGTGATCGCTTTTACGCTCGGTGACATGATCGGCCGGCCAATTATCACGGTAAAGTGCCCTCATGGATCCCTGATCGTTAAGGGCAACTTCCAAGATGGTCTGGTGCCAGTAGACTGGAGGCTTGCTGATACTGCCCTTTAACTCCGCGGTGCTCCTGACCTCGAGGTCGTCGATGAAGTAGTTACGGTAATGCACCTGGAGCCCGTTCATGTAACGGCAATAAAGCGTGGCGAGATCGGGCGTCGCAAAACGAATCACGGTAACTCCAGTCGAGATGTAACCGTGCGGCCCATGGGTGTCCTCCACCAGGTGCTTAACGGAGATCACGGTGGGGTTGCCGTGGGGCAGCATTCCTGCCCACGTTAAGAGGAGACCGTTAAGCTGCTTCTCGTTCATCTCCGGCACCTTGTTGACGTACACTTGCGTGTCCGGGCAACTGCGGTGCTCAAACCACGATGAGTGAAGCTCGTTAAGGTAGAGCGGTGGCACGTAGTCATCGTCAACTAGGGACTGCACGTGCCCAACCGAGTCAACCCATTCATCATGCTTGGCCAACTCTTTGTCCGTTAACTGAGACCTCCAGCTGACCGGACCTTTCAACACGGCATAGCCGATGAAGCCGTAAGCGTGTTGGCCGAAGATGTCAACGAACACGTCCTCGTAATCGTTAAGCTCCCGCCCGGTGTTGCCCTGGATGGACCTGCCGCCAGGGGTCGTTAACCCCGCCTTCGCCACGTGCCCGACGAAGTTACCCTCAAACCTGCGCCAGTTATGACGTGTCTTCATCGTTAAGGCTACCACCTCCCTGGGATCAGGTCCCGCCCGAAAGTTAACGTCGTAGTCGTCGCTCCTGTTGTTCAGCATGGACATGCGACCGTTGACGTGGTACAGCGGGCGGTAAGTGGTGTCCTTGGCGATGGTCCTGGAACACCCCTCAACCTGATCAGTCGCGCGGTTAACGACTTGAGGCTGCGGTGGCGGGACGTGCTGGATCGGTAACCTCTTGGGCTCTGGAGGCGGGGGCTTCACGCCGGTAACGCTGCTTGCCGCTCTGGACTCGCCGAGCCCCGGAGGGGGCGGCTTGGCCGGCCTCGCGTTTACGACGGGAGCAGGATCCTTTGGCGCCTCATCACGTTGACCACCGACCGTTCGATCCTCGTCCATCTTCATGCCTATCTGCATCAACTCTTCCAGCTCCCGTTGACGTTCACGCATGGCCTTCGGCGCCCGCTTGTAAACAGGTCGTGGCTCCTCACCGCCCTGCCGGCTCAACGGTGACGCTCGAATCTTGTTCGGTGACGCGGACCGCCGACTCCCCCCGGCTTTAGCGGTTACGCCGGCCAGGTCCTGAGTAGGGGGAGCCTTGCCTGGCGGAGCCACGTTAACCTGCTGCGCTGGGGGCGCGCCCGTGGCCATGGGCCCGGCTGCCGCAGTAGCAGCAACGGGTGGCGCCTTGGCGGGCGCTGCCGTCGGGGGCGACCCAGGCAACGGCGGCGGCACCTGCGGAATATCGGCAACCGAGGAGTTGATCGGGTCATCCAAGAACTTCTGCAAACCCTCAAGCCTCTCGGTAACTCCCACTAGCATACGTAGCGCCGCATCACGTTTACCTTCGAAGTCCTGCAGGGGCGTGATATTCTCGGTAAGGCGCCTGGCGGTATTCAAGAGGCAACCGACATTTTCGTTAATGCGCCGATACTTGGTTGCATTCTCCGCCGTGTTAACCTCCGAGTCGCGATTCTTGATGTTCAACTCTGTCACCATCGCCGCAAGGTTGTTAACCTCGTCCTGCGCCCTCTTGAGGTTCTCGTTGACATCGTCATTGGCGTGACCAACGCGGTGTTCTGCTGCGTTAAGTCAACGATCCTCCGCGCCATATCATCGGCAACCTTCTGCATCTCGTCAACGTGCTTATCATAGGCCCCGTGGAAGTTAATGGCCATGTTGGTGAGGGTCACGGTGAACGCATGAGCCACGTTTACGATATCGTCGACGCGGCGATTGAGGTTCTCACGCGTAACCGGTCCTGCCCCAGGCGGGCTCTGGTCGACTGCCGCGCCGTTGATCGTGATGTTGACTTGATGGTCCGCCATGCTTTCGATCACGCTCGAGGGGAAGAGGTAAAGGATGGAGGAAGCCTTAATCAAGACAGCTTGCTTGACAGAAATGAGCTGCGGATGTCAACACTCGGTGGCCGGCGCAAGACTGTGCCGACCTGTTAATGCGCTTTGGTTTGTGTTTAGCAGGTGTGTGCTCATGCTTTCACGACTGACATACTTGGTTACTGCATCTGCTACGTTCTCATGTGTACCTACTTTCGCAATTCGAATCACTCCCTCCTTTACTTTCTGCTGCAGCCACAGTTGACATACTTCAATGTGTCTTACTTTTCCTAAACCTCGTCTACTCGCAATTGCGATTGCAGCCGTGGCATCACTTTTCAAGGTGATCTCAACTGCCAAGTTAAAATCCCTCAACACTGCCTGATGTCCCAGTCCGACTGATCCTCCTTTCACAAGCCCGTAATACTCTGCTTCCCCTGACGATAATGCAATTGCACTTTGAGTTGTGCTCCAAGATTTTATAAGGTGTTTACCCCACATCACTACTCCTCCACTCGTAGACTTCCTAGTTCGTTTACATCCTGCGTAATCTGTGTCCGTCCAAATCGTCAACTCTCGAGGCTGTTCTTGATACTGATACACGTAACTGCTTCTGCTGTGATACTTCAAGTACTTTCCTAGCTTGACTAGACCTTTCCACGAACCCATAGTTGGCTTTGACATGGTCCTAGCAAGTTCTTTTACTGAATACTGCATGTCCGATCTGTCTTGAGCTAAGTAATTCGCTCTAGCCGTTAATGCCTGATATCGCTTAGTCATGCTGGGCGAAAGTTCTACCTCGTCTCCCTCCTCAACTGGAACGCGTTCACCTGGCACCTCAGTCCTCACTTTTACTCCCTCAAGTTCAAGCTCTTTCACAATTATTTCCGCATGCCTTTGATCAGCCTCAGATCTCAATCCTTCCTCAGTCCACTCCACAATCCTGTTAAGAATCCGGATCGCCTTCATGTCTTCCTCCCCCGGTCCAAGTCATCCTCTCACTTTTACCTCAAACTCCTCCTTTATTTTATTTTCAAACCAATCGAGGTCAAGGTCACCACCTAGTAGAGTAAAGTCATCCCCATGGACCGTTAACCATAGGGCTCGGGCCTCGTGCTTGAACACGCACGGTGACGCAACTCCACTCTTGAACCCAACTTTAATGGCAAAGTCCATGTAACAGTCTTCCCAGTTGCTTGCCGCATCTCTTGTTCCATACATTGACTCCAGTAACTTTCCACACATGCCCGGCTCGTAATCCTCGCCCGGTAGCCTGATAAATATGCATTTCTTTGCAGGGGCGTAAAAGTAAGCCCGTTTAGTGTCAATGAATGCCAGCTTTAATCCTTTCTCGCGCTCGCCACTCTGAAATCCCACTCCTTCGGTAACCGCCATTGAGAAGAGTAGCTTCTGTGCTTCCAGTGGGGGCGTAGCCGCAAATATATTCTTTTCTTTGGAGTTGTATTTAACTTGTTGGGCTACTAGCCTTGACCTGTGGTCAGGGCTTAACTCATCCCCTTTGTTAATATCTATCCATCTGGTTCCAATGGGTGCCTTCCCCGTAACTTGCCAGCGCACTTCTTCTTTCACTTTCT